AAAATAAAAAAATAAAAAAATAAAATAAAAAATAAATAAAATAAAATAATAAAATAAAAAATAAAATAAAAAATAAAATAAAAAAATAAAATAAAATAAATAAAATAAAAAATAAAAAATAAAATAAAATAAAAAAAAATAAAAAATAAATAAAATAAAATAAAAAAATAAAAAAAATTAAAAAAATTAAAAAAATAAAAATAAAAATAAAAATAAAAATAAAAATAAAATAACATTAACCCAGGTGTCTTTTAGGAGCTTTTCCCACGGGAGCAGAACTGCTGCTTTGTGCCCAGAGCTCCTGCGTTGGTGCCTGAGCAGTGTCCCTGTGCTCTGTGGCACTGCTGTCGCTCACATCTGCCTTTCTGCTGGAATACTCGGGTTTAGTGACCGATTTTTCCCCGTTTATCCCAGCGGGAGCCGTTTCCATCCCCAGGGTTTCCCCTGCTCTGCAAACCCTGCAGGCCTGGCTGTGTTTGTGCAGCTGATAAATGCAGTTATCCCAGGGCTGGAATATCCATCCCACCTGCTGCTGTCCGGAGCAAAGCTGGATGGAGCCGGCACAGTCGGGCTCCTCCTCTGCTGTCCTTCCTCCTCTTCTATCTCAATCCTTTCCACAGGGAGAGAGAGACACGTGCCACATCATTTCCTCTGGTCCTGCAGCTCTCCAGGCAGTTTATCCCTGTTTTCCCTGTTTCCTGAGCAGGCTGTTCCTGCTGCTCCTGCTGAGCATCCCAAGGGGCAGAATGCAGCCAGGTCAGCGGGACTTTTCCAAGCAGCATCAGCTGAGTTCCTGGGTTCCAGAGGGAGCCCTGGGCACCTTTCCCTGTGCCCTGCCTGGGGAGCCTTCTCCTGGCTGGCTGGAGCAGCTTCCCAGCAAACAGGAGAGCTGGGACTCAATCTCCCCAGTTTTGGGTTGCCCAGAACCCAAAGCACCCTCAGGATTGCATTCCCAGCATTTCCAACACCGCTTCTCCCCAAAAACACCCAGCGGGATCCAACCCCCAGCATTCCTTTTCCAAGGAATTGTTCTTCCTGTGCCGTGAAACTCCCGGGATCTGCTGTCCCAGCCTGGCACACGCAGCCAGCCCCAGCAGGGCTCCCCAGCACCCACCTCTTGGCAAACAGGGCTGGGAATTCCTGAGTTGGGCTCCTGCGGAGGAAGGATTAAGGGGCAGTTAAAGGATTGGAGGGAAAGGCACTCCCTGGGCAGGGGCAGAGCCACCAGGACCCCACCCCAGGTCCTGTCACCCCTCTGGGCAGAGCTGGCCCCAACCAGGGCGGGCACAGCTGGGCAAGCTCCCAATGAAATAATCCAACAAAACCTCGGAGAGCAGCTGGAGGACTAAGGCTGAAAATGGGACTCTTGATTCCCTTAGGGAATTAGGGACTCCCATGGTTTTCTGGAAATTTCATCCCTCTCGAGAGGGAATACTTGGAGGATCTCCCAGTTCTGCAGAAACCTGCAGATCCCATGGAATGATTTGGGCTGGAAGGGATCTTAAAAGATTTTCCAGTCCCACCCCCTGCCATGGCAGGGACAGCTCCCACTGTCCCAGGCTGCTCCCAGCCCCAATGTCCAACCTGGCCTGGGACATTCCAGGGATCCAGGGGCAGCCCCAGCTACTCTGGGTACCTGTGCCAGGGCCTGCCCACCCTGCCAGGAACAATTCCTGCCCCATATCCCATCCAGCCCTGTCCTCTGGCACTGGGAGCCATTCCCTGTGTCCTGTCCCTCCCTTCCTTGTCCCCAGTCCCTCTCCAGCTCTCCTGGAGCTCCTTCAGGCCCTGGCAGGAGCTCTGAGCTCTCTCTGGACCCTTCTCCTCTCCAGGTGAGCCCCCCCAGCTCTCTCTTAGCAGGGAAGGAGCTCCAGCCCTCGCAGCACCTTTGTGGCCTGTCCTTGGCTGCTGTGCTGGGGAGGTTCCCTTCACCTCCAGCCCCCCTTCCCTGGCTGCTGCCCCATTCCCACCTCTGGAACTCACCCGTTGCTCTTCTTGGCGGCGGACAGGACGTAGGCGCGCTCCCGGCCGGCCGAGCGCCGCAGGACGCTGTTGGCAGCCTCAGTCCTGGAGGGGAGGGAGGCAGGAAGGGAAGGGGTCACATCCTGCTCATCCTGGCACTCCCAGCTGGCTGGAGCCTTGGATGAGTGAGGAATAACCCACTGGAGACTGGGGCTAACCCTGGCAGGGCTCCTGCTCTCTGGGGAGCAGATTTCATGGAATCATGGAATGGCTCAGGTTGGAAAACACCTTTAAAACCATCTGGGCCGAGCATCAACCAGCACGACCACCCTGGTCACCACTGAGCCACGTCCTCAAGTGCCACAGGGTTTCCAGACACTTCCAGGGATGGGGACTCCACCACTGGAGCAGCTGTGCCAGGGCTGGACAATCCCTCGCAGAGCTGGACTGCTGCTCTATTGGATTCCACGGACAGAAGAATGGGGTGTGGCTCTGTGGCTGACACCTCCACGGAGTGTCCCATGGGAGAAGGGATCACTCCCAGGGATCCTGGACCTGCCCACCCTGCCGGGGAACAATTCCTGCCCAGTATCCCATCCAGCCCTGCCCTCTGGCCATTCCCTGTGCCCTGTCCCTCCACCCCTTACCCAAAGCCCCTCTCCAGCCCTTGAGTGGTTGGACCCCGGGGGACAGTGACCAAGTTTTCCTTTGTCCAGGTCTTGTGGCTGAGGAAAAGAGTCCTCGGAAACTCCATCAAAGGCTGCAGCCAGAGAGACCGGCCCTGTTCCCATCCCTGTCCTGTGCCCCTGGATCCCTGGAAGTGTCCCAGGCCAGGCTGGGCAGGGCTCGGAGCAGCCTGGGACAGCGGGAAGCGCCCCTGCCCATGGGACATGAGGAGCTCTGAGGTCTCTTCCACCCAAACCATTCCGGGATGATTCTCTGAGCCTATTCCCGCCCGGAGAAGGACAGCCCTGCTGGGAGAGCAGGGGGAGCTGGGTTCCCTGCTGGCTGTGTGTGCACATTCCCGTTTCCCGGGGCATCCCGCGGGTTCCCTGCCCGCTGCCGGGTTAATTGGGCCGCGCTGTCGGGCCGCATCTCGTCAGGCGCTGAATCCCGCTCTGTTGAGAGCGCGGTGGCCCGTGTTTCCTGGAGAAACCACGGCTCCCCTTGGATCTCACCCAGCCCTGCTCCATGCCCGCATCCAGCACCCCTCCAGGATGGAGCACAGCTTGTCACTGTCCCTGCAGGCGCCTCCAGGCCTCACCTCTTCTTGTGCTCGTCCGGGGAAAAAGGCGCGTCCTCCTCGTCCGCATCCACGGATTTCTGCCGGACGTTGTACGGAGCTCTGGGATGGGGAGGGAAGGGAGAGCCAGGTCAGGGAATCGCTGCTGTGCCTGGGGCAGAGGCTGCAGGAGCCAGAGGTGAATCCAAGGGATCGGTTCAGACCCTGGAAGACGCCTGTATTTTCCACAGGGGTGCACGTTTCCCTGTAGGAGTTTTTCCCTCAGTCCAGAGGCCCCAAGCCCATTTTGGATCAGAGCCATGCTCTGGGACACGAGAAGCTGGGCAGGAAATGCCCACAGTGCTGCTCTGCCACGGGCATCCCCCTTTCTCCAGGCTTCAGGAACGCTCCAAACCTGCAGAATTCCAGGCTGCACCCTCCACTCCTTCCTGCTGCTAAAATCCCCTCACACCAAGGTCGGTGCCAGCTCAAGGGGCTCCTCCTGGCCCACGGAGACCCGGGAACTATCACCCTGAAACTGGAGCCTTCTGATTGTTGAGAACATTGTTTATTTTCTTTGTTATTTTCCTTTTTCATTGTTTAAAATATTGTTCATTTTCTCTGTTCATTTTTCTTTTTTTAAAGAAGAAAGGGTGAGATGTCTCCCTGAAAACCACACCTTCCGATAATGTTTTCATAGTTTTAGTTCCTTTCCCATGAAAGTTCTATAAACATAAGTTATTTATCACATTCCTTCTAAGAAACATCTTTTGATGGATGCTCCACATGAGCAGTGTGATTGGGAAGGTGGTAACTTAATTATCCCATCCCTGGCCATTGTTGAGAATCTATAAATATTGGAGTCAGAAAAATAAAGTTACTTCTTTTCCTGTCACACCACTGAGATGTGTTGAGGTGAATCATTCCGTGTCCTTTAGGGACAGGGAACCCCTGGAATTCCCAGTGGAAGCTCCCAGGGTGTTCCCAGGGCTCGCCCTGAGCAGGGACAGCAGGAGCTGCTCCCTTGGCACACTCACAGTTTCTTGTAGTCCTCCGTGGTCATCCTGTAGCCCGAGGGGGAGTGGCTCTGGCCCTTCAGGGCAGTGCTGGGGGGACACAAAGCACACCTGGGAATGTGACCTGACCTTCCCTTCCCACCTCCCTCCCCTTCTGCAGGAAGGGGGAAACCAGCGTCACCCCAGATCTGACCTGTGAGAATCAAACGTGAGCGCCTCGCACAAGACAGGTTAAAAAACCCTCCAAAAATCCCATCAAAACCATCAAAGCCAAGCATTCCAGCTTGCATTTTCCCCCCTGCTCCAAACCAGTTCCCAAATTAGCCCCAAGCCCGTGAGCTCTCCCAGAGCCAGCTGTGCTGAGGAAAACAGGGAGTTTGACACCCGCTCTTTTCCCGTGTCTGTGAAATGCACAGCCAGACCTTCCAGCATTTCGTAGGGATTTGGGAGAGCTCTGGAAACCCACGAGCACCAGCACAGCAAGGGGATGGCTGGAAACGAGAGTTGAAAATCTCCTTTTCATGAAGGGGGAGAAGGCAGGGGGACACTCTCATACTTTTTCTGTGCTTGGCTGGAAGGTGAAGAATCTGGCACGGACGAGCTCTTGTCGATGGTCCTGGTGAAAACCCCCCTGGGGAGGGAAGGAACACCTTGAGTTTTTGGCTGGAAAATGTTTGGAGCCAAGCTCAAAGCAGCAGGACTGGCTGGAATATTGGCTAAATGTTGGCTGGGATGGCCCCAGCTCACAGAACCCAGGAGGGAACATTTTCACTCCCTCGTTTTGTGTTTTTGCTCCTGATCCAGTTCTCCTCCCCCTGCAGCCCGGGTCGTTCCCGTTCCAAACCCACCTGATGAGGTATCCGGGCTGGGCCTTGGGGACAGAGCACCTGTGCAAAGGACAGACAGCAGGGAGTTAAAAACACGGGGAAACAACAGCAGCAGCACCAAAACCTCCGGGACTGAGGGGGAAAGTCCTCGTGGATGTCAAAGCAAAACTCCAGCTAAGCAGGCCTGCAGGGATCCCACAGCTGGATTGAGCCTGGAGGGATGTTTTAAAATTAATTATCATCACAACAGGCTCTAGAAAGGATTTTTTTAATAGGGAAAGTGAAATTTAGAGCCAGCCAATTAATATTAGTAATAATAATAATAATAATAACAATAATAACAATAATAATAATAACAATAACAATAAATTAAAATAAAATTGACTAAAACAAAATCAGTAAAATATTTTCATTATTATTTAAATATTAAATCAAATTATATACTTATTTGTATATAATAGATAAATATTATAAAAAATTAACTTCTATAAATATATATGATACATAGCTACACTAAATATGAATGATTTAATTTATTTTCATTTTATAGATAATATATTTAAAATATATATTTTTATTTATTTTAGATTTTTAAATTTTAATTTAATTAATTTAAAATATTTTTAATTTTTATTTTATATAAAAATATATATTTATGAATCAATTTATTTAATTAATATTAAAGCACTGTCGGGCTCCTCCTCTGCTGTCCTTCCTCCTATCTCAATCTTTCCTATAAATACATATTTATCAATCAATTTCCTATAAATATGTATTCATCAATCAATTTATTTAATGTTTTAAATTTAAGATATAGAAGTACATAAAGGTAATTAGGAGTTTAAGGTATAAGAAGCAGCTCTGTGTGTCATTGTATGATCGGTTAAGAATGCACTGTGGTGGAGATGTGTAAAGCAAAATAATTAGTTATTGGTATGAAAGTTGAAACATTCTTCTGTAGCATTAGTTTATTGGCTAAATAACCTTTAAAGAACCTTGTGACCCAGAGTCTTGTGAGACTGACTAAGAACATCTGGTGAATGAGGTGAGGATGAACTCATTCCTTCAGGAGACCACAAAAGAAGAATAAATCACGTTTTGAAACGTCTCCCAGCGGCCCCATCTCTCATGAAACCCCGATTCCCTGGTGCTCTGAAGCCCTGGGGAGCCGAGGGGCTGCTCCAGCACAGCGCTGATGTCCCTCCCCAGCCCCAGCGCCTCGGAGGCTCCGTTCCTCCGAAGGAAAGCCATCCCTCCATCCCTCTGCACCTCTGGGGAACCAACCCAGCCCCGCCCCAAGGCGAGGGGGGCACAGCGAGAGCCTCCCGACCCCGGGAACAGCAGGGAAGGAGTGGGATGGGCCCCAGGAATTACCTGTCCTGCTGGGGAGCCGCAGCTTTGGGGGCTGTGGATCCACCACCAGCCTGTCCAGACCTGAGGGAACGGGAAACACAAAAAAGGGCTCAACTGATTGCTCATCTCCAAACCGTGATGGGTTTGGAGAGAGCAGGAAGAGAAGAGGGATTTGGGATTGGGTTTGTTCCCCAGGAAAGAGGAGCTGGAGCAGGCTGGTGTTCCCTGGCACTGTGAGACATCCAGGGAAATGTTTGGTCTCCTGCCTGTTCCATCCTAAACTCCATCCATCCTGCCCCGAGTTTGTCACTCCGAGGTGCTGAAGCTCAATCTGGCTTCACAAAACTCCGGAGCTCTCCTGAGGCTCCCAATCCATCCATGCTGCAGAATTCCAGCTCCAGCAGAAGACATTTGTCTGAGCTTCTCCCCACCCTGCATTCATCAGGAACAAAGAGGAGCAGCAATTCCTTTGGCAGTGCCACTGCCTGGCACCACGGGGACCCCACAACTTGTCCCAGCACATCCTGTGCAGCTGGAGGTGTCTGGAGAACCCGGAGCACAGGGTGGGATCAGTGATCCTGATGGGATCCTCCTCCAGCTCAGGGAGTGCTGGTGAGGGAAGGGGAAGGAAATGTTCTTACAGGGGGCTGCTCTTCTCCTCGTCCGAGTCGGAGTTGTGGTGCTGGATCCAGCTCTTGTCCCCCCGCAGGGTGGTGCGAACCTTCATCTGCCGGATGATCCTGCGGCGATCCTCGTCCGAGGGCGGGATCAGCCCTCCTGGGGGAACAGGAGAGGGAGGGAAGGACTCCCAGCATCCCGGGGCAGATGGGATCCACCCCTCTCTGTCAGATCCCAGCGCTGGGTGACGCTTCCAGCGGCTCTGATGGAAGCTGGAGACCATCCAGAGCTCGGGATCTGCATCCCGCTGGATCACAGGGTCACACAGAGTTCCCACGCCTGTCCCAGCAGAGACACCCCAGCAGCTCCAGCTGGCCAGAGGAGACCGAGGAAAACCGGGAGAGGAAGGAATTACCTTTGGCAACACCCAGGGACATCATGGTCTCAGCAGCACCTTCCCCTTCAGCCAAAAACCCCCTGGAAGAAATGGAAAAGGGAATAAGCAAAACATCAGTTGTGCCATAAAAGCAATTCCAGGCTATTTAATATGGAAAAGGGAGCTGGAGCCTTGTTTGGATGTCAATGTCCGAGAGCTCTGGGGCAGAGCCCAGCCCAGCACACTCCGTGGGGTCCCTGCCTCGGCTCTGGAGTTTGAAAGCGGCTCCAGCACCACAAACTCCTCTCCCATCCCTGGCAGGGAGCGATCCCATGGATCACAGTTGATCCCATGGATCACAGCTGAACCCATGGATCACAGCTGAACCCATGGATCACAGCTGAACCCATGGATCACAGTTGATCCCATGGATCACAGCTGATCCCATGGATCACAGCTGATCCCACGGATCACAGCTGAACCCATGGATCACAGTTGATCCCACGGATCACAGTTGATCCCATGGATCACAGCTGAACCCACGGATCACAGCTGATCCCATGGATCACAGCTGAACCCACGGATCACAGTTGATCCCATGGATCACAGCTGATCCCATGGATCACAGTTGATCCCATGGATCACAGCTGATCCCATGGATCACAGCTGAACCCATGGATCACAGCTGATCCCATGGATCACAGCTGAACGAGGGAACACCTCCAGCTGTGCCCAAGGCCGTGGCCCTGAGGGGGTGACCTGTCCCTGCCCACCCATCCCTTCCCCGAGGGGTGCAGGCACAGCCACACCAACTCCTCCCCCAGAAATTCTTCCAGTGCCTGAAATCAGCAGCCCCTCAGTCGGGAAGGATCCTGCTTTCCGTGGAAAGCTCTCACCCAGCTCTGATTACCCCGCAGGACATGAAACACTTGCTGTTCTTCCCAAGCCGATGGGAGCTCCCCTGCCCTGCCAGCCACCCTCCTCTCTGAAGGCTCAGCTGGGATTTGGAGGTGTTAATAACAAGTTGCCAGCGTTTGTAGGACACTCGGGGTAAAGCCCCTTCGTGCCTCGCAGCACCTCGCTCTCCTTGTGCTTCGGGACGAGCTGGATCCCAGCCCTGAGGACTGAAGGAATGCCCTGGGAGGAGGAGGCAGAGCTGCTCAGATCCCATAAATCCACCTTTCCTGGGAGCACCTCGGGTGCCTTTAGACTCCTGAGCTGTCCATGCAGCCACTGAGAACAGGTCCCAGGTCCTGCTCCCTGTGATTTGCTTCCTGGCCCTGGGGTGGGATGCCCCAAGCTCCACACTCACTTTTCCATGCTGATCCCTGTCTCAGCTGGACCCTTTTGGGATGGGAACCCCCAGGCCCCGCTGCTGCCTTCCCTGCCCGTGGAAGGCCTTGGTGGCACTGGATGACCTTGAAGGTCCTTTCCAGCCTCGATGGCTCTGGGATTCCTGGATGAGGAATTCCTCACACAAAGGGCACCCACAGATGCCAACCTGGGCCCTCACCAGGGTCATTTCCCTCAGCCCAAAGCCCACGTGGCATCGCTTGTGCGCCCAGTTCCGACGTGATCCTGGTCCTGTGGTGATCCGGGTCCCACCCGAGGTGATCCAGCAGCGGCTCCAGGCTCTGCTCCCCCAGCTGAGCCCATCCTGGAGCCCCCAAGGATCTGTGCCGTGCTCCCCTGCCCCGGGCACCAGCACAGAGCTCCTCTCCCCCGGGAGCTGGGCACCAAGGGAGGCTCGGCCCGTGACCCGAAGGCCCCCGGCTGCAAACAGCACCCAGGGCAGTCACGCGGAAAAATCTCCTGCTTTGAGGATAATTGATGCCTGCTCTGACCTTCACCAGCCTCAAATTAAAATGTATTTAAAGCTTGCAAGAGGTTTGAAGCTCCTTCCTGTGAGCTTCCTCGAGCCTGCTGGGATTTTGGCCTCCAGGCCTCTCTTCCGCTTCCATGTGGAAGTTGGGAATTGGATGCTCAGCAGGTCCAGCCTGGCTTTTGGAAACCCACGGGCAGGAGAGCAGGGGGAGAAGGCTTCTCCTTCTTCCTTTGGCAGATCCAGACCTGGCATTGCCTCCTGGGAGGGCACAGCCTCGAGTTTCGCTGCACCAGCCACGGCACACAATGCAAACCTTGTCCTGCTGTGCCCTGATGGCACCTGACACCTGATCTGCTGGGAAGGGACGGCACCGTGCTGGAAGGAACCCTGCCAGATCCACGTTAACCCTGCCAGATCCATGTTAAATCCTGCCAGATCCACGTTAAATCCTGCCAGATCCACGTTAAATCCTGCCAGATCCACGTTAA